CCCCCCAAGCTGTGGCTCCAGCCCCCTACCACGCGAACTGGGAAGCCCCTGCCCCCTCCCTCACCGCAAGGGGGCATTGATCTGCCCCTCCCCTTCCACCACACCAAACCTACCAGCTGGAGGAGGCTATATTGGCAATTGGATCAGTATTGGCAGATATGCCTACTTAAATATTGGTATTGGCCAAAAAAATCTCTATCGGTGCACCCCTACTGAATATCCTTGTGTTAAACATGTTGTTGTTATTTTCATAGAGTTTAAGAAAACCTAGCCCAGAACCAAGAACTCAGATGAGAAAAGCTGGTAGCAGAGAGGTGCTTAGAGATCCCAGCCCACCTCCAGCATTCAAGCCTGAGCCACCAAAGGTAACATGGTTAAATCAAATTGAAGGGAAAGCTCATCTGTCTAGTGAATCCATGGTGCCATGCATTATGAGCCATGCTGCTTCACATGGGCCAGATGAGTGGGGTCGGGCCAGTCCATGGGGTGGATTGAGCCCCGTGCAGCAGGATCAGGCCCTGGAGCCTGGCACCATCCCCTCCTGGTCTCATGCTCTGGGACTGGTCCTTGGGGTTTGGCGCTGCCCCCTCCTGCCTCTGTGCACCAGGATTGGTCCTCAGGGGCCAGGGTACTGCCACCCCAGTGTTCTGGGATTGGGTCCCAGGGGCCTGGCACTGCCTTTTCCCAGTCCCCCACACTGGGATTGGACCCTGGGGGCTCCTCATCTAGCATGTAGGGTCCAGGGCTCCCCTTGGGTCTGGAAATTTGGCAGTGGGGGAGCAGTGCCACTTAAATCAGGATTGTTCAGCTAGCAACCCATGGGCCACATGACCCTTCAGCGGGTTAAACTGGATCCTCGAGGCTCCTGCCCAGCCACCACTTTCCCCATTGCTCTGGATGCAGACAGTGGTTATCCTTTTGGGTTTGGTGGTGGAGGTTGGGCTGTGTAGAAGCCTATGTGAAGGAAATGAAAAATCCTAGAGAGAGTGGGCATGTGCCCTATGTAACATTCTCATCCACAAAGTACAGGAAAACCTCCTTGTCTTGATTCTTTCTTTCTTCCATCTATTTATAATTTCTATAAAGGATGAAATGGATCTGTTAGATTTTACTGTTTATTATAAAATTACTGTATTCACTCATGTGCACACAAAGCGTTTCCCTCAAAGTTCATTGTGTGTTTTAAGCAAGGACGTTGTGGAATGGCTTCTGGGAGCTCTGCTGTCTTCCTAACCATGTCCAGAAGGGGCAGAGTCCTGTCATCAGTGCCCTCCCTTTCCTGGATGTGGCCAGCATTCAACCATGTTGAGTACATGCTGTGTGGCAGATGAGATTCTGGAAAATTAACTTCATTCTCCCTCTTCCCCACCCCCCCACTCTGCCTCCCCCAAATAAGGTGTGTGTCTTTTTGTGGCGGGGATGCAAGAAAATACGGTATGTTCAGTGTTGAATTCTAGGCCCAGTCCCCTTTAAGTCAGTGACCCAGCTCCTGTAAGCTTAAAGGAGCTCAGGATCTGTGCTCAGAACGCTTTTGGACAAAGATGGGACAGGATGAAATACATGGGCCGTGCTACCAACCTTAAAGCAAAAATATTCCCCCGAAGAGACTGGTTCTGCTGCTGCATGTGGATTACATTGTGTTTTTAATTCTTGCAGGGCAAGGTGCAAAGCAGAGAAGATCCATATGACCTGCTCAGGAACTATGAGTCGAAGCCAAGTGTCTCTAGTATTGCCAGCAGTGAGAGCTTAACTGTGTCAGCCAAAGCAGCACCTCCCCCAGTTTTGGCAAAACCTACCTTTGGGCGTCCCATCTTGAAAACCTCTCAGCCAGCAATTCCACCTGCAGAGGACGAGGAAGAGGACCAAGTGGAGGAACCTGCAGATATAGAGGAGAATGCTCCAAAATCGGTGCTGGGGAAAGTTAAAATATTTGAGCAGATGGATCACAAGGCAAGGAAGCAAAGAATACAAGAGCTGCAAGAGGCACAGAATGCCAGGGTATGAAAAACGTATTCCTTTCTCCCCACTTTCATCCCATGATGATGCCCTCCAGGGGGTTGAATACACATTAGGAATCCAGTATTGCTCCCAGATTACATTATATCTATGAAAAAAAAAAAAAGGGTGCACGTGCATGCACATAATATACCAGTGCACATGTGTGCGGATTTGCATATAGAATGGTTTAGCTCCTTTAAGTTAATGGTTTTGTTCCCCTTTTTACTCCAGTTACCTCTGGCAGTCCAGTGGTTTCCTGCAATGAGAAGCTATGTTAACAAAGAACCATCTCATTGTGTAACTAATAAATTGTACTTCAAAAAACACTGAGCGACACTGATTTAGTTTAAAGTGGCTTGTTGTGTAGACTCTTGAAAAGCATCTCATTTTCTTCTAATTCCTTTAAAGCTGGAAATAGCCCAGAAACACCCAGATATTTATGCTGTTCCAATCAAAACACAGAAGTCAGACCCGAACTGGACCCAGCCCATGAGGTAAGATAGACCCAGTTAAAGCTGCTCTTCTGTTTTTTTTTTTTAGTTCACCTTTAAGAGGGACCTGATCTTACAACCTTTACTCATTCAAATAATCTTCTCAAACTCTAATGCTGTCTTGTTTTAGTGCTTCAGAGAAGATTACTGTCATAAATGCTGTGTCAAAGATAGTGGGCTTAAAGTTTGACTTTTACAATAGTCTATTCTGAAAAATCTTACTTCCCTTTATATTTCTCTTAAAGTAGTCCACAATATTGAAGTGCTGAAGTTGCCTGGAGAGATTTATATATATATATATATATAGATATAGTTACTGAGAGACTCATAATGCTAGATTATTTTGTCTCAAAATTAGCCACATATGTGAGCTGTTTCTCCTTTCAGCCCTTTAGTGTTATCATTTATGTGCCTAAAGATTAGATTATTGTTCTGTCCTAACTAAATATAATGATAGTAATTAACAATTTAGTATGTGTAGATCTAAAAACTGTTTTTAAAGAGTCATTATTCTGGTGAGGAGACTGAGGATAAGAGACTGTCTAACACTTCACGGAGTGGGAATGCAACCTGGCCTCTTTGAACCCAATTGCTGAAGTCTAAGGCAGTGCTTCCATGGAATCAAGTGGCCTTTGGATCAGGCCCATGCTGTTCAGTCTGTTGCCTTACACATACTTATTCCTTCATACGAACTGCACAGTCCATTTTGACTCTGATTTTGGAAATCTTCTAATTCTTCTCACACTTACACTTGCAATTTCTGGGGGTAGCTGGGGAAACTGTTAGTAGCTAGACGGTTTTTCTCCTCAAACAGTTTGCCTTTTTATTTTTGGTGTATTAAAGTGTAATCAAAATGGAAAACACAAACAGTCCTTGCAGTATTTCCTTGTTGATGTGGTTACTGCAAATCTGTAGGAATGTGTGAGTTTTATAACATCTGTGAGGGACCGAGGAGGAAAAAAATAGGATCCTTGGGATGGATTCAACTCGAAGTCGAATCTGGCACAGAGGATTGAAGACACAGAGCCCTGCATAGCAAGGCAGCTGGCTGCTCTTGGGGGAAACACTTGTGGCCCACAGTGGGTGCTGGGTCACAGCCTGTGCTAGACCCTTGGTCTAATGACTAAGAATTTTTGTTTCACTTAGTTGCTGGACTTTCACTTGCCCTCCCTTAAACACAAGGACCATACTCCTCTCCCATCTAACTGCTTTTAGCCCTTATGGCAGGAAGACCCCTGTGCCCCACTATTGACTTTGCCTACAGAATGCAGCACTCAAGTGTGAGGCATACTAGATTGCTCAAGGTTCACATTCTGCTATTTTCCCTGTGATCAAAAACAAGGAATCATCCTGCCAGGGAATGGCATACCTCTCCCAGTCTCGTATCACAACCTGTTTGGTACAGCTGCACTTAATGCAGAGAATGTAACTGGAGTGTTTGTGGATTATTACTGGGGACTTTGCTAGTTCCAAGGAGGTCAAGTTATGGTGGGGGCATGCAGGCGTGCACCTGGTTTTTCAAGTTTGAGTTGTATTGAACTTGATGTTCTGGAAGGGCGCAGGATACCCCTAAGCAGCTGCCACTCCATGTGCGCGAAGCTCAAATTTTAGTCACCAGTTGGCAGTTGATCATAGATTTGCATTATCTTTTTCCTCATGGTTTTAGGAACAAAAATGGTTTATATCTTTGTTCTGTCTCGGTTTTTCCTATGCTAGTTCCAGGCCTCCAGAGCCTCAGAAACCCCCTGCCCGATCTTACCTAGATAATCAAGGAAGTTATGGCAGTGATGCAGAGGAGGAAGAATATCGTCGGCAGCTAGCAGACCACTCCAAGCGTGGGTATTATGGACAGCCATCAAGATACAGGGACACAGAATTATAGACTCACTAGTATGTTCATCCATACTGCTGCTTTGAGATCCTCTTCTTCCCACAGTCAAAATGGAGCATGGGTAATAGCTTTGTTGGGGGTCACAGGGTGCTTTTGGTGAACTTAGACAGACATATCCGTGCACTAGACCTGGAGGGTTTAGTTTTTGGAGGATATACCGTTTTGACATCTAAACAAAGAAAAGAAATCTCTCTTGCCTGAATGTTGACGCCTGTTTTTAAAGGACCAAAAATCTATTTTAAAGCTTCTATTAACTCTTGATATTTTCATATTTTAACATTTAATTAAGTCACCCCCCCCCTTCCTTCCCATCCTCCATTCCCCTATTAAAACTGCCTTTTTGGACTGTATAGGTGTTTTATGAAAATGTGATCAAAGAAATAACACTTTTTAATGCAAGAGAGCTAACTTTAAAAGAGTATTTGAAGAGCTATAAGTGCCTTAAGGAGCATCTTAAATTTGATCATTCTCATATCTGATACCTGTGCAAAGCCATAATATACTAAAGGGTGTGTGGCTATATGGCCTAACTTTTTATATCTGTTTCATGGCTACTATTTCCCTGCATGTTATTTTTCTAAGTTGATAGATTGGTGTACTGTTTTTCATAAATATTGATTTGTACATATGAAAGGTGCATTTCTTGATTGGCTTATACAAGGCCAAGAAGTACTGAGATTCCGAAAATGATGTAGAAATTCAATAATGTATTAAAATTTATGTGGACCACAAAAATAATAAATGGATATGTTCTAGACTAACATCATGCATCCTATTTTTATTTAAAAAAGGAATCATATTTTGTTTAGTGTCTTTTTGAGGCTTTTTGTTTTGGTGTGGTGTTGGTTTTTCTTGTTTGTCTCTTCTTTTTCTAACTATTACATTCAAGAGGTGGTATCTAGTCTTGAGCTACTGAAATAAGTAGGTTTACCATTCAGGTCAACAGAACCAGGTTTAGACCTGTTGATTTTTATTAGTGTTCTGAAACTCCATCTGTTCAATATGCTGAATCTGGAAAGAAGATCCAGTGCTGGGTTGCTACTATTAAACTTTAAATGTGTAATGCATGTTCTAAATCTTAGAGCATTTGACTTCCTCATTCTTGTTATAGAGCACTTCCACTTACCTGTTGATTGTAAAACACATTCACTGAAGCAGAACTTTCATAATGATTAGTTAGACACAACATTTCAGAGAGTACAATTTTGCTGTCTTATCAGTGGGGTAGGCTTAACTGGGGTGGAGGGTCACAGCCTCCCTGATAACCAATGTATTTTTCAGGTTTTTAGCAAGTTGCACAATTTTACCATTGGGTTTAGGACCTAAGCGTGAACACTTTTTTTTTTTATTCTGAAAACTTTCCATTTCGAACTATGTTTCTAGACCAATTCATGCTTTTATGACACAATCGCTATTATTTCATCTGAGAATCTTACATAAATATCAGTGCATCATTATTGGACCAGTTGCCTGGGCAACCATACTTCAGCCCCCTTGTCTGTATGCCTTAAATGATCATATACTATTTTTTTTTCTTTGGGACCCCTGCCTTATTCAGTGCATGGAATAGACACTGCTCTCTGAATGTTTATTATTATTATTATCCTTATTATTCAATATGTGCCCCTTTGTTTTATTTATGATCTTGTTTTTTTCTTTTGCTATATTGGTTTCAATTTCTATATTTATTGCCTCAAATTTTTATACTTTTTGTATTGCTGATGGATACCTGAGTTGTAAGAGGAGACTGGGGAATACCAACTCCTTTGTAGTTGAGTAAGGCTCTGCTAATACTTTTGGTGCCCAGGAAAGAAGAAAGAGGTGATTTAATCTTTTTTGTGGTTGAGACTTTTAGGTACCAGGCCAGGGGTGCATTTTTCTCTTTCCCAACCTCCTTCATTGGAAGGGACCAAGAAGGCATTAAACTTCTCCACCTCAGGGACCTATCTGAGCCTGCTGCACCTCACTCAGCATTTGACATTACATCCAAAGACTATGGGTAGCCATTACAGCATGGAGGGAAGTGGGGATTCTTACCTGCCTTGGGGATTTAAAAAAAGGCCCTGCTAAAATAATCAGCACTTTAACTTTAAACTGTCCCTGGATATAAGCCTCAGTAAACTGTTCAGGTGACTGGATTGTCCATGCCCAGGGGTGGATCCAAGATTTGGCAAAGGGGGCTGCAGGAGCTCTGGGGTTGGGAGCCTCGCCTCCCAGCCTCCTCTACATCTTATCAGTGTGGGTAGCATATGCTGTGGGAGCCCCTGGGGACTTTTTTAAAGTCCCCAAAGCAGGTAAGAATTCCCTCCCCCTTCCCTCCATGCTCAGAGGCACATCCCCTTCCCTTCTCCTCCTGCTACTACTGCTTTTCCTGCTGTTCTGGGCTGGAGGAAGCTTCAAAGTCCCTCCTGCCTGCTCCAAACAGGCTATGACGGGGCTGGGCTCAGCTGGGAGCAGTGACAGCTGAAACGACGGAGATGGATAGGTGGTGGGTTCCCCCACCCTATCCAGTTGTCCTGAAAGGAAATGTGGGAACGGGACCCCACCTGCCCTTTGCTGAGCTGAGCCCACCCCCAAGACAACCGAGAACTTGGCAGCTGCAGGTGGGGGCGGAGAGGGAAAGGGAGGTGACATGCCTCTGAGCAGGAGGGGAAGGAGAGGGATTCTCACCTGCTTTGGGGACTTTGGATCACACACCAGAAGCCCCTATTTTAATCTGAAAGCCACTGGACCGCCTCTGGATCTATCCCATGCCTCTTGGAGTTGCTATTTCAAGCTGTGCAAATTCAGATGGATGCTACTACAATGATTTCTGCTATTTTGGTCTCTGTAACCATAAGAGGCAAGGGCTTCATTGCTTTTTATTTATTTGTTTGGTTGTTTGTTTTTCTGTTCAGGAGTACAGTGATGCAGTCAGTTACCCACAGTTGGCAATCAGACAACAAACTAGGTAGCTGCCTTCTGTAGGGCCTGCTTGCAGATTTTTTCAAGCACTAATTTAACAAATATTAAAATCACAAGAATCATGTAACTCTCATTTCACAGCCACATGTGCAGACAGGCAGTAGCATTATTTGCAGAGCAGTCAAACCCTTAACTCGAGTATCAATACCTGTCCTGACATAGCAACCTGAAGCTCAGTACAGGCTAACTTACCCCACTTCCTGGGCAGGTGTTGCAGTGACGATGGTGTGGATTGAGCCAAACTTGGGGGTGGGGAATGCCTCTCTTTCC